TTCACTCGTTTGAGGTCAAGTTTCAGGGCGTGGCGCACTTTGCGTCTGTTCAAGGACATTTCGGTGCGTTGAGCTCAGTGCGTGACGGCGTCGAGGGAGGGGTAGACGTGCTGACTTTTCGTTTTTGCAGAGAATCAACCATGCGTGCAAGCCAAAGTAGGTCGTCTCTCGGTTGCGATTTGTCTGCTGTTGGGCGGCATGAGACTGACTTTCTGTAGTGCCGTGACCCGCTGGTCGCAGACGAAGCTCCAGATGGAGATCATTGCCTACCATGACATCGAGGCCGGCGAGGAGATCACCATTAGCTGTAAGACCAGCCCAGCTTTGCCCTGCCCTGCCCTGCCCTGCTCTGCCCTGCTCTGCCCTCCTCAGACAGCTGACATGATAAAGACGCGCCCATGCACCTCCTCTCCGACGACCGCCGCGACATGATCATCTCGTCCTGGGGCTTCGAGTGCAAGTGCCCTATCTGCACCGACGAGGGCGAGATGTACCTCTCCGACATGCACCGGCGCCAGCTCGACCGCATCATGGAGGAGCTCGCCATGCCCGAGGTGCGCACGCCGGCCCTCGTCAACGAGCTCGTCAGCGAGATGGAGGACATGATCGACGACGAGGCCCTCGACTCGCAGCGCGGCGACCTCTACGGCGTCGTGTCGCGCGTCTGGTCCGAGGTCGGCGACTACGCCAAGGCCCTGCGCTACGCCGAGCGCGGCATGGGCTTGCACGAGTACTATCGCGGCATCGACGACTCGAGCACGTGGCAGGCCAAGAGGTTTGTTGATTTCCTCAAGATGAAGATTGGGGGCAGGATCTGAGGGACGGCTGGCTGGTGCAGTAGAAGCATGCAAGGCTGGATGGAAACTTGGCTGTATGATGAGGAAATGCGATACATGGCGTTCATGGGGGTTTTTATATCTGGATAAAAATGAGGACAACTTTTTGCAATTTGAGTCGCGCAGTCATTGTCATGGTGATGGTGTTTATGCCTCTCTGCTTCACGGGGTCTTGTTCGTCTTCGTGGTCATGGACAATTGGTGGGGGAATGACCGATATTCTGATGAAGACCGGCCTTGGTAACAACTAGACGAAGCTCAGGAGATGCTTGACAGTGAGGCCTTGTTTCGCGTTGAAGAGAATTCAGTCGCGCGGGAGAGATATCACATCTTACCGTGGCCTTGAGCAGCCCAAGCCTCACCAAATGTTCGCGGAGCTCATACGGCATTTCCATGTTTTGAACAACCTTTGTTGGAATGGTCTTTGCTTCTCATTCATCTGGGATCATACCAAGAATACCACCCTTCCCTAAAAGGGCGAGGTACTCTTCTGCAGCGTTTGTTAGTGCCGCGACGATATGTGGTTCACGCCCTATTGTGCTGGAGACTTACGAGCCACTTGCCACTCCGTGGCAAGCTGACGCAAACTGTCCACCAGCTTCCGCAACGCTTGATACATCGTCGTGTCGTAATCTTCCTTGATGAGCCATGCGCACTGTTTAGCAACATGGTATGACAGAGATGACAGCATCGGACTCGTGGCTCCCCCACAGGTGACACCGCCAGCTAATCCCGAGCCTAGCCGCAAGACGAGATCCCGAGTTCCAGCTAACGAGAGGCGTTGCATCTGCGTCTCGAGAGCTGTGCGTCCGCCTCCATATCCCGCCTTGGGCTCATTAGGGCCATAAATCTTGTACAGCACCATGCGTGCCGAAGCGCTCAGAGACAGAGCAAGGGCGTTCTCCATCCCCGGTGACGTGGCCGTAACGACGACCTCGGGTCCCGGATGCGTCAAGGGCGAGTCTACCGTCCCGGCGCTCTCGTCATTGTGCGAATCACCGAGGAAAACGCAGTGCGGGGCGAGACTCTCCTCCAGCGCAACGAGTGCACCGTGCAGGGCCAGCGCTTCGTGCAGCACCGTCTCGGTGTCCTGGCCCGAATGCGTGCGGTGGTCGCGGTGCTTGAGGACCTTGTTCAGGATGTGCGCGGCTTGGCATGTGCGCGCGAAGCTGCCCAGGTTGGCAGTCGAGTGGAACGATGTTGTGAGGAGAGACTCGCTGGCGCTGATACGGCCCTCGTTCCAGTCCTGATCGTTGACAGGGAGGAGGGCGTCCAGGCAGGGCTCAAGGACAGACGGAGGGAGGTATCGCGTACCGATATTGACATACCTGTGCATTGAGTCAGTGAACGCGCGCTGCCAACCGGGGAGGGTCGCTTCGTCCCATCCTGGGCTACTTGAAATAACCTACTCGTCCAACAGACCAACAGAAATATCGCCCACCAGGTTCGGCGCTGTTCTTCGCCGCAGGTCCAAGTGTCTGCTGTGACGAATAACTGCTGTGCAAGGGTCTTGTTGTGAAGTCCGATCATGCCACCTAACCTCGAGGCGTGGCCGATGGTGGCGTACGCTTCGGGGAAAATAGCATGGCCCAGCTCGTATACGGCGATGAGGGTCAGACACTGGACAAGACGAAGTGAGATGAAGCGGTCTCGTTCCATGGACGTGCAGCACTCCTTGGCCAGCTGGTAAACGGCTGGGTTCCGTACAGTGCCGTCGTCGTGGTCGAAATTGGATGAAAGCTTCATGCAGACCAAGAGGAGAGACTGGCTCTCCTCGTCTTGTGCGGCCGGATTATGGAGCAAGTGTAGGAGTCGCTTCTTGCTGAGAACCGGCAGCCATTTATGTATTGTAGAGAAGTAGTGCTGGCAGATCGCGTCAATATCCGACCCGAGGCTAGACCTGAGTTGGCTTTCGCACGGCCAAGCAGAACAGACGAAAGCTGTTGGTGAGAGAGACTGGAAAAACGCCGGGTCGAGAAAAAAGCTCGAGGGAAATTCTTGGGGAGTCCTGATGACTGCAGTGGCAAGCTGAAAGGAGGGAAAGCCTCCGCTGCTGCCGTCAAAGGCATCATCGTCTCTGGGCGGCTGACCCGGGGCTTGGTAATGACAAGCCTTGTTGAGTCGCTCGCACTGAAATATGAGAGATCAGTATAGAAACGCCAAGAAAAGAGGCATCGGAGAGCATAGTTACCAATGAGCATGCTGGAATCTCTCGGCTGCATTTTCGTTTCAGTCGCCTGATACATGTCAACAACAGCACCAGATAGTGATGACCTGGCCCGCGCACGTACCGGCATGCCCGACAAACCACCTTCGCCCTGCCTGAGCTCATCGGCACGGCGTGTGTGAGCTTTCCCCCCTCTATTGACTGTCCGAA